AAGAACCAAATATAATATTAAATATCGACTAACTAAATTCTCTCGTCACTTTGTTTCTATCGCCAAAGTTAAATTATGTTTTAATTTATTCTTCTGAATACAATAATTAAATAACAGATTAAACAAAAAACGTTTCTGAGATTATTCCAAGAGAGACGTAGCTAACAAATCACAGTTTCGTTAAAACTGTTTGTTTGTTGAATTTCGCGCAAAACTATTCGAGGGCTATCTCCACTAACTGTCCCTAATTTTGAAATGACAAAATATAACCTCCCCAGGGCTGGAAAGGCGAGTAAATTCGGGGACGGAATTCAATGCTACAGCCTACAGATTGCAAGTCGATTGCTTTAACCATTAGGTCATTCGGTAAAGAAATCGAAATGTTTCTACACAGGATTTTAATATTTATTGACTACTTTGAAATTAACTTACAGTTTTCTCGATTACAAAGGACACAGATTATGAACAATAACTGGGAACCAAGATTTTGGTTGCTGAGAAGTAAGAAAATTTTCTCACTGAGGATATAAGAGTTATATTTTTGTTTAGAGAAATTTTTCTTTTTAAATTTTCATACTTTTTTTTTCATTAATATCCACTGAAACAATTTTAAAAGCTTAGTTCAATATTCTATTTCAACCACTTTTTCAGGTTTAAACCTGTCATGATATAAAAGACTGTTTGGTTGAAACATTAGTGATTAATTTATATTTGGGAGTGAATACTTTATTATTTTTAAGTTTTGTTATAACAAGAGTTAAAAGCAGACGATTGTAGAAGGTTTTGTTAATAACTAGTTGGTGTCGAGAATATAGAAAGTGGTCAGACGACTATGTAATAGAGATGTAAATAGCGTGAGACGAGCAGAAAGCAACAGACAGATAGACAGATAATAGCAAAATAAAAAATAGCTGTGTGAAGTTAAGTACCGTAGATGTAATAGGCCTAACGTTTAATATGTTAGAGTGAAACTAACAGTATAAAAAGATAAGAAGGATAATTTAGTTCGACAATTGGCAAAATAACACACACACACACACATATATTATTTTGAAAATCTGACAAAACCTTTCTTGCGAGATGGCAGACATTGAACTTTTGAGAGTCTTTAAGATAGGTGGGCAACAAAGATTTTGGATTGTGTATATAAAAATGTGGTAAACAGTTTATCATTTATGATCACATCATTATCAGATCTCATTTCATCTTGACCGGAAACACTGTACGCTTCGAACACTTTACTACATCGGTTATCAGAAAAAGAATGGCATTTTGGAGGGCCTCTTGGTTTGATGTTTTTAAGTGAGCTAATGTAAATATTGAGGTATAACGTTCAATATTTCTCAGATCAATATTTCATATTTTTCTTTGATAAATGATGAATTGGTGCATGAATTCTGTATGATACTTTTGAAATCGACGGAGGTGTTCTCTGTTGTTGTTATATTTCTTTAAATTCTGTTTTCTACATTATTTGTTGTGCTACGTATTTCATGCGTAATATTGAGTGTCACTGTAAAAGTTGGTAAGAGGATATGGTTAAGAACTGATCCAAGTGACATGTGACCAACAACAAAAATAACCTGTATAAAACGGCCCACGCACAGTTTCGAGATAGTTCTTGTGTATATTTTTACTAGCTTTAGGTATTTTTAAATTTTCAATAACAAGAATGAGTAATTTGGAGAGATTAGCTCTTAACTATAAAATACTTGAAAATATCGTGCTTTCTAATTTCTTATGTTGACTTACTTTGTGGATTATGCAAGGAAAAACCTTAATTATGTGTTACTGCAACTGCTGAACTGAAACATCCGCTAGGTGCGCTACAAAGTTGCCATAATATCGTACATAATATTTTTTCCTTTTTTTTCAGAGATGTAATGAAACTAAATATCTCAAAAGATTAATTTCTAATATTCCGAGTTAAAAACCAGAAATAAAGAAACATTTTGAAATGATAAAACGTGAATATTTTTG